TTTGTGGCACTGAGCAGCCCTGATATGCCAGTGCCCTGCCTCTGGCCATGCTGGTGCCCCTCATTCCCAACCCACAGCCCCCTTGGCCCTGTTGGTGCCCCTCAGTGGGTGGGGGGGAAGATGGGAGGGTGGGGGAGAAGGCACAGACAACACAGCAGAAAGGGGCACATGCCCCCTGATATTTCTGTGCCTACAGTGGTGTGCAGGGCTGCAGCCAGGCTGGACCAGCTCCAGGCAGGAGCTGCTTCCACTGCCTAGCAGGCAGGACCCAGCATAGGAGGGAGCACTGTGCTGCTGTGGTGAGCCGTGGCAATGGCTGCAGCAGGAGCTGCGGCATGGAGTTGTGCCCCTGCTGCTGCCAGGCGGGCAGAGGGCAGCTCACTTTGGCAGCCATGGCAGTGTGGCGCTCCCTCCTGCACTGGGTCCCCCTGCTGGGCTGCAGAGATGGCTTCTGCCCATAGCTGGTCTGGCCCACCTGCAGGTCTGCATCCCACAGTGGGCGCAGATATCTTGAGGGGGCATGTGCACTCCTTGCCATGTGGCCTGTGCCGCTTCCCCCTGCCCCCACATGGCTTCTTCCCCTTCCCTCCCCTCACCCCCATGGGAGCTGCTCTCCACCACTGCCTGGTTGCCACATGCATGTGTGCGCATACATGCACGTGGTGCCCCTTACCTGATTGCCCTCCTCCCACTCTCTGTAGCCCCTTGCAGGCTGGAATGTTGCCAGCCTGCAAGGGCACCCCACTGTTTTTTGCATTTTTCTCCTTTTAAAGGGGGAAATCCATTATTTTCTCCTTGAAAAGAGAAAATCCACGGGTTTCTCTATTAAAGAATCCATGTTTTTTCTGCTGCAAATGGAAAACCTGGATTCCTGGTGATGACAGATCCTCCAAAAAAGCTCACTCTTTCTTAATTTTTATGGACTTCAGGGACAGGCATTTTTAGCCTGTTGTTTGTTTGTTTTTTAACTGTCCATTATGGATAGTTGGCAACCCTGCAGTTACTCCACTGATAGCAGAAGTGTCTCCACTCACCAGGGAGCTTTGCTTTCTTTAGGCTTCTGGAAGGCCACCTGCCCCTCCTCCTGCTCCAGCCCCCTTCTGGCCTTTGTCAACTCCAAGAGCGGTGACAACCAGGGCGTGAAGTTCCTGCGCAAATTCAAGCAGTTCCTCAACCCAGCACAAGTCTTTGACCTGATGAATGGTGGTCCTCACCTAGGGTAAGTGCCAGCAGGGCCTTCACCATGAGCTCATACTGCCCCCAGCCCAATGCTTCCTGTGGCATCAAGAGAAGACACGGCCTCCCTACCAGGGGGTAGAGTTTTCCTTCTTTCTGCAAATGAGTCCATATCTGCCCAGCCATGTACCACCCAGTGCCTGTGACTGGGACTGCCAGTCCAGCCAACTTCTCCAATCCCCTGCAGGACACAACATGGGTGCCAGTTCTCACTGCTCTGGGCTAGGCGGGGCACTTTGGCATGAACTCTTACCCTACACAAAGAGCCCTGGGTTCCCTGGAAGGAGCACGGGAAACATAGGGTGTTTACATACATGCTCTGGGAGCTTTAATTGAAGTGCCGCCACCACCATTCTTCAGTGCAGAGACGCTAATACATGAGACACTGCACTCTGCTGGAGTGAGTTGGAGCAGCCTTACTGCATGTGTATAGGAACCCCTTGGGTCTTCTGAAGTGAATCAAGCTGAGGTGCATATCGACCCATCCTTCAAACCCTGACTCTTGCTCCTCTCTCTGTGTCCCTTACCAGGCTTCGTCTCTTCCAGAAGTTTTCCACCTTCCGTATCCTGGTCTGCGGGGGAGATGGGAGCGTGGGCTGGGTTCTGTCCGAAATTGATGCACTAGGATTGCACAAGCAAGTGAGCAGGAGTGTGTCTCTGTCTGCATTCACCTTTCCCTCCCTTCCTGGGATCCCCTGATGGTTCCCCTACCCTGGCAGCCACCCTGAAAGCTCCGTGACAGTAGTGATAAGCCTGGTTTGTAATAGATTTGCAAAGCTTGGACTCTCTGTCCATGCTCCCAGCCTGGGATCTCCATTCCCAGAACCAGAAGTTCATCTGACATGACACAGTGACAGTGCTGGTGAGGCTAATACACAAGGAGTATGTCACCAGGATGAGAGAGAGAGAGAGAGAGAGTGTGTGTGTGTGTGTGTGTGTGTGTGTGTGTGAGAGAGAGAGAGAGAGAGAGAGAGCGAGCGAGCGAGCCTACAGTTGGGTAGTGCCCACAGTTAAGTCTAGTCACTGGTACTGAAAATCACTGACACTCCCCAGCTTGGGCTGAGACGAATGCATGACCCATTCTGGAGACCTGGGTTCAAAATGACTTGCACACTAAGGAGATCAACACATGCCACTGAATAGTTTCATTGCACCTATTTCCTGATGCCCATGAAGCTTTCACTGGGCTGTCATCTAGCATGACCCTCTGCTTGGTGGCTCTTCCCATCCTGTGGGGATGCCTTTGTTGAAAATGCCTTCCCTTCCCTGACAGTGCCAGCTTGGTGTCCTGCCACTGGGGACTGGCAATGACCTGGCACGGGTGCTGGGCTGGGGCAGTCTGTGTGATGATGACACCCAGCTGCTGCAAATTCTGGAGAAGCTGGAGAGGGCAACCACTAAGATGCTGGACAGGTGAGTGCCAGGCATTGGACCAGGGCCAGTCAGTCTGGGCCCAGCAGACCTCACCCCAGGTCTAGACCAAGACAGGGATCCTAAATGGTGAAAGAAAACCAACTTGGCCTGTTGAGTGGATGCTGATGCCTTAGTGTGTTGTTGGGCCATTCTGTGCCTGCATTTCCAGCACCATCTTTTAGGACAAATTGTCTGTAAACACCTACTGCAGGACTCTGAAGCAGCTGGGGCTGCCCCACGGAGGCAACAGGATACTGTGCCAAGTGGCTTCTGGTGTAATCCAGTTCCTCTGATGGTCCAACATTCCCTGCTCCCATTTCCATAAGGGCCTGAAGGAAATGGGATCTAACTTCCCCACGATTGACCTTTGCCATCTCCTGTTCCGTTGGCTTTACATCCCCTCCTTTGTATCCTGAGAGGTCAGCTACCCTATAGGCCCCTGGACCCTGGCCATCGCACCATGTCCACCACTAGGTTTGGTGTCCCTGCCTTCCTCTTCAAGTTGCTGTCTGAAAGCCAGAGGCCCCTGGTAGCCCTGGGCCTGGTGTCTTCATCTGCTTGGCTGTGGCTTACCAAAGAGGCCAGGCTATGGCAAACAGTGTCTTGTCTTTGCTTTGCTGCCAGGTGGAGTGTGCTGACCTATGAGATGCCTAAGCAGTCACCCCTGCCCACTAAGGAGGAGGAGAATGGGGACTCCAACATCCAGGTAGAACTGGTCTGTGGGCATGTATAGAGCTGGGGTGGCAACATGGCTCAGAGGGACCAGGGGAGACTGCAGCTCCTCAATTCTGACCCTGCCTCTGGGCTTCTGTGTGCAAGAGGGAACTTTAGGCCTCATCCCTGACCAACAGCAGGAGAAGTCTATGTACTGCTTGCACATGCAAATCAAAGTGATTTCTTCCTGAGAGGTGGTTCCCTCAGCCAGAGGGAACTGGAAGGGACAGAATTGGAGGAATAGACACTTCAGCTTCACCACAAGTCCTGGCTCAAGCAGAACAAGTCTGGCAGTTCTCAGTGTGCTACCCTAGTGCTGCTGCTGCTTACCTTGCCCACAACAACCCTGGTCTCAGTGAAGTCTAGCATACAGCAGGGGGTCAGGATGGGGGGTAAAAGCAGGTCTACAGGGCTGGTCAGATTGGAAGGGGGTGGCAGAAAGGGGAATGCAGAGCCTGCCCCGGTGCATGGGTGGGGAAGCTTGTCACACAGATAAGTAGTACTCAGTAAGTCACACAGATAAGTCTACTCAGTAAAGCCCTGAACCAGCTGACTGGTGACCTGAATTCTCTTCCTGGCTTTGGCATGGACTGTATGCCCTTCACCTCTGTGCCTCTGTCTTCCCACCCTTCATCTCCTGGTGTCAAGGGACCATAACCTCTTCAGAGACTCTCTTTTCCTATGAGCCTGTATAGCATCCAGGTACCGAGAGAGACTGAGTGATGCTGAGACCAGTTGGTGCCAGTGCAGTACAAATAGTAGCAGTGACAGTAGGGGCAGATTCCCAAGGACTTCCCTGCATTTTGTTTGCAGCATGCGCTTGGGCACTCACAGCTGCAACTGTGTGGGTAGAGGTAAAAAGACACATACCCACCTTACAGATGCCAATAAACCCTGATCTTTTGCTCTCCCTGTTCTATCATTTCCAAGCACTTTAGATACAAAACGTCTAAGCCTTGTGATCCTGCTACTTCTGCTGCCACTCCTCTGATTAACACAATCAGTGGGGAACCCACTGCCCCAGTTCCTTAGGTACAGGCAACAAATAAGCCATTTCCTGTGGGGGTCTAGAATTGCTTGTTCTGATCAGAATGGGTGTACTGGAAGGTCCTGAATGTCTAGAGGGTCAGAGCTGAGCTACACCCAAGATGAGGAACCTGTGGCCAAGAGTGGCCATGTAGCTTTTTCCATGTCACATGATGGCTTCTGGCTCAGTGAGGTAGTTCTGCTGCAGTCCTGTTATTGGGGGTAGAATCTGAGAGAGTAGCAGGGGCACTGGGATAGCTGCTCAGACGATGCTTTCCCCCCTGCTGTTGCACAGGCCCAGATCTCCCACTATGCTGACTCTGTGGCCTTCCACCTGGCGAAGATCCTGGAGTCCGACAAGCACGCGGTCGTGATTTCCTCTGCAAAGTAAGGGGCTTGTAGTGCTGTGGTGCAGGGGCAGAGAGAGGGAGGGTGAGGAAGAGCACTGTTGAGTACTGGGTAAGCCGGGATGATTGCAGGCTCAAGACGGGTCCCTGCTGATGAGTGGTCAGAGCCTCTACCTACTGCCTGAGTCCAACCCAGTAAGAAGGTGGATCCTCTGTCACCCTGTCCAAATGCCTGCAGGCCAAGCTATGGGGAGACCCTGCCAGGGCAGATAGAGGAGCACTGTCTCTGTGCCCCATCCAGCCCTTGATCTCAGTTGAGATTGCCCACAAGGGGCAGGTAGGAGGGGCAGATAGGGAGTCTGCACTGAGGCATCCCAGATGACTGCACACAGGCCTCCCCACAGCTGCTGCATGGGGACGCCTTTGGCTCGCTGCTGGTGAGCTGGGGTGGAAGGCACCCTTCAGTCCCTTTGCACAGCTCCACCAAGTGGAAACCTGAGGATTATCCAAGTTCCTTGGGCCCTTGCTGGAAGGTGGTGGTCTGCCTGCTCTGCCAGGGGTCAGGGTGGGGCTGGAGTTCTCTGCTGCCTGCTGGCACCAAACAACCCTACTGAGCTTGCTGAAGGGGAGCACAGCACAGAGGGACCCTGGAGGGGGTACAATGGGGAGGACAGGGTTAGGCTTGCATGGCTGGGGAGCACCCCCTGCTGGCTCAGTGGGGGAGCAGTCCTGGCTGGTGGGTCCTAGTTGTAGGGGGAGATGGCAGGTAGCGCCCCAGGGGTGGGGCTGTCTGTTTCCACAGGCTCTACATCTGAGTCAGTCTTCCTGGTAGGTTCCTGTGCGGGACTGTGAATGACTTTGTGGCAGAGGTCGGGAAGGCATATAAGCGAGCCACCGAGAACAAGCAGGAGGCTGACATGATGGCCAAGAAGGCAAGTCCTGCATACCCCGTGCCTGGGATCCCCTGGACAGAGGGAAGGTGATGCAGTCAGAGGGCCCTTCCCAGCCATCCCTGCCCTCCCTGAATTCCAAATGACTTGGGTTCTCTAGAAGGACTTTTAGAGAGGCTGGATGACGTATGGCCTCCATTCCTCCCAGGGTTCATTGTGGCAGGGAGGATGGTTCTGGCATCCTGGTGATGGAAGTGTGGGTGTGTACATTGCCCATCCTGGCACCCTCCCCTTGAACAAGGCCATGGCTCTATGCCAGCAAATGATCTCTCTTCTTCTCCTGTTGAGCCCTGGTACAGCCCAGCCTTGTGCCCAGGCAGCAACAACCTAGGCTGACCAGGTTGTCTCTTGCAGTGTGCCATGTTGAATGAGAAGCTGGACTCCCTGGTGCGGGAGCTGAATGATGAATCGCAGGCGATAGTTGTCCCCGAGGGGAGCTCACAGGCTGCCCTGCCTGGTCCTGGAGGCAAGGACAATAGCAAGGGTGGCAGTTTCAACTCCAGCCCTATGCCCAGGATCTTCAAATCTAAGGAGCAACTCATGCTGAGAGCCAATAGCCTAAAGAAGGCCTTGAGACAGATCATTGAGCAGGCAGAGAAAGGTGAGAGAGCCCTGGGAAGCAGGAGGGGGGCACTGAGAGGGGAACAAATGTGGCTGAGGGGGATCAGTTGGGCCATGACTGTCTGGGCCACTTCACCTCTGACACTTGCCTTCAATCCCTGTCTTCCCTCTCTGTGCCTGGCTCTGGCTGGGAAGGCCAATATCCTGTCACTTGGTGTGGGGTGTGAAACGTTGCTGCAGGGCTCAGTACTGTATCAGCTCCTCTGTGGCAGAGGAGGTGCCCATGTAACGCCAGTCCCTGTGCCTACTGCTCCTTTGCAGCGAATCCCACCCTGGTGCTTGGCTCCAGACCTAACTCTAGTTCCCTGTTGGCTGGGCAGCACTGTGCCCCCCACAACACTGGCCACTGCTGAATGCTTTGGTCAGGGCAGCTCTGTGCCTTGGTTTCCCCACCAATGACATGGGGATCATGGCACTGCCCCCAAGTGCAAAGTGCTCAGAGGTGATTTACATTAAAGCCAGAGAACACCCTTTACTGGTGACAACTGAAGCAGTGTCCTGGCTGCCTAGGGGAGGGAGAGGCAAGAAGCCCTATGGTCACAATCCACATGAGTTTGTCACCTGTGGATGCTTCCTGTGGTTCCAATTCTGCTTAGAAAGCTGTAGGGTCAGACTTGAACTTACTTGGGGCTGCTCATGTTTGGGTGTGAATCGTGGGCCAGGCTTTGCTGTCCTCTTCCCCCTGGAAACTTCCATTGAAGTAAACAAGTGGAGCCAGGGTCTTGGGTTTAGGCCCTTTCTGGATAATTTGACATCACTTCTTCAGTGCAGGGCTACCAGCAGTACCAGGCTGGCTCTGCTACAGCATGTAATGGGTCCAGATGGGTCCAGCTGAGAACACAGTTGGCTCGGGCTGAGTTCTAAGCATCTGGCCTGAAGTGCAGCTGAGTGCACATCAGGGTCTGCAGCCTCCCTTGGAAGGCAGTAGGGCTTGCTGGCTGCTAGCTCCTGCATGGGTCTGCGTCACGTGGGGTCACTTCACTGCAGCCTGCAGGCAAGTGAGCACCTTGTTGCCTCGGCTTGCTGAAAGAAGTGTCTGGGTTAGGACTGGGCACTGAGGTCCCTCTTGGACTGGAATGCAAACTCCAATCTTCCTTCTCCGTGAGGAGAGGGCTAGGTGTGGGGGTGGATGCTGGGTGTACTGGGCTTGATGGTACAGTTTGGGCATCTCTTGAGGTAGCTGTTTATCTTGTATCCCCGGCCTTCTGCACAGCGGTAGATGAGCAGAACAAGCAGACACAGGCCTATCGGAGCATCTCGGCTTCTAGCAAGAAGGACAGCTCGGAGGATTTCAACAAAGAAACCGAAAGGCTCAGTATGTGGCCTCCCACCTTTTCTGATACAGAATGGGGAGGGAGCTTCCCCCAAGCCCTGGCTACCTTGTCACCTTCTCTAACTCATCTGTAGCTCATGGTTATTTAAAGCACTCTCAGAGGTACTGATAGATTGAAGATGGCAAACAGAGAACATCCCTGGGGAATATGAATAAGCTGCATCCTCCCTTGGGGTTGTGAGCAGAATCTCTCACTGCTGCTGCTGGGTACAGTTAGTCTTGTGCTCTCCTTTGCTGCATATGCAGGTGCCTTGCAGGCCTGGGAGCTAACTAAACCTCCATACTGAGTGCAGCAGATGGGGTGAGCCAAGATGGCTCCCTAGATTTCAAGCCTTTCAAATCTCAGGGCCATGCCCCAAATGGGTGTGTAGTCACAACCCTTATTTGCAAGCGCACTGCATATGATGGTATAAGCCACTAACGTGTTTGTGCCTGCAGGTGGTGGATGAGATGCTGTTTGCTCATGGTCATCACTTGTGCAAGTCAGTGGCTCAGCAGTAAGGAAGTGAGGAGAATCTGGCCCTAATTGCCTGGCTTCCCCACCCTGGGACCTGGGGAGACCTCAGGCAGTAATAGCCTGACTCAAACCACATTGAAATCAACTGAAGTGTTTGCATGGAGTTAAATGGTCCCTGGGTTCTGCCCCCTCTGTGAGTGGGCAGAGGCTGGGCTTATGTCAACCTCTGTTAGAAACCCACACAGAGAAGGGAGGACTGATAGTAGATAATCAGAAGAGAGAAACCACTCTGGCACTGCAAGGGATCTGTAGATCATGTAGACTGAGAGCAAAAAAACAGAAAGTCCCTGTAACCAGACCTGTGTGTAACAGCTGATAAATGGGGCAGACACAACCCTACCCCAGCACTTGTCCCTTGTGGTAAGCTCATCTTGTGTCACTGCCCTAAGTGTTTTGCAGAGATTGAATGCAGGGGTTGCCTCTGTTTTCAGCAGTGAAAACAGGGTATCCTGGTGCAGAGCAGGACGTTGGGTCTTTGGCCAGAGATGAGATCCAGGCGCATTATCTTGTTGTGAGCAGGGGCTAAATAACATCTCCTTTCCTTCTGGCCAGGCTCCCGACGGGAGACAGTCACCTCCACAACCTCCTCCATCATTCTGGACAGGCCTGACAGCTTCAGCACCATCCACTTCACAGAGGACCCCAACACCATGTGAGTCTCTTGCTGAGGGCAACATTCCTGCCTGGTGTGCTGTCTTATGGGTACTTCATCTTGTGGCAGTGGTCAGAGGTGTTATTCCTGTACTGGAGGAACTGACTGACACACAATAGCAGACCCAGAAGTTGAACCCAGGATTCTGGCTGCCAGGCTTCTGATCTAACCATTAGGACTCATTCTCTTCTCTGAACCCTTAGTCTTAACCAGAGTCTACCACACGATTAGCCTTTCCCACATCAGACCCTTCTTCTCTTTGCAAGGAGCCTTACTCCATGTGGCTCTTCTGTGGTGTGAGGGCTTGTTTTAGGTAGAAGTCACATTTCCAAAGTGGGAGGAAGGAAGGTGGTCTGTGGAGTGAGCCTACTGTGCTAGATGGCTTGGTAGCTGCTGGGATGAGCTCCCTGCACTTCAGAGCTGTGCAGTGACTACCACTTGGCTGAATGGTGTTCTGACACCCACTGCCCCTGAGACCCATGGTTCATCACCTCCATGCTGGGCAACTGCCAGACATGCTACTGGTGTGAGAGCCAGTTGGAAGTGTCCCCCAGAACAGAGTGCAGTGGCCTGCTCATTTGTGCTGCAGGCACTGCACTTATTGTTCAGGTTGTATGAAACTCTCCAGCTGGGATATTCAGAGACACCAAGGAACCAGACCCCTTGGGTGAGGAGGAAATACTGGGCATCTTCAACTACAAGTAATAATAAAGGAGAGTGTAATTGTATAGATTCTACCCTCCATCTGCCCCCAAACTGAAGAGAGTGAAGGACATTTCCCAACTTGTCTGGTTTGTGGCTTGGGGCCATCAGTAATGCAGTGGTCAAGCACTTTCCATTTAGTATGGAAATTGTGGCTGTTGACAGATGTGGAAACCCTCCCCTCCCAGTGGAGTTCATGCAGCATCTCACTGTTCTCCCTGTAACCCCACAAGATATTACTGATGTTCAGCAAGCAAGGCTGTATTGGCCTTTTTAAGATCTTGACTCCAGTCCTTTTCCCTTTGTTTTACTTGATCAATGCCTGTATTAAAAATCAGGTCCTGGTTCACTTCTGTCACTGGTGGAAATTAAGAGTCATTCCAGTGAAATCTGTCAGTAGAAAACTGATGTAAGTGGGAGCAGAATTATCAGCCACTTATTAGAGCCAAGTAATCTGATTATGCCATCTGAAGTGTTGTTTGGCAAATTAAGCTAGTACCTGCTGGGGAGGCTGTAATAGACCAAGAGTTGGAAGAGCCAAAGATCTAAGTGGCTTTAACCACTTGAAGTATATTAATGACCCTGAAATATCTGGCTTAGGGTGTTTCATTGTTTTTGCAATGAGATGCACACAAATCAATAAATCTGTCACCCTTGACTGTTTAGTGGTCCTATAAACTTGGCTATGATATCACTGACAGCTCATCAGGTCTGTCTGTGACATCACTGACAGCAGATGGGAGAGCTCCAATTGTGACTGGCATTCAAAAGCCATTTCCTAATTCATAATAAATCTTGGTGACACTCACACATATGCTTAAATAACAGATCTGATATCTTTCATTTGCTGCCATTTACTGGCTCCACCCCAGTGATCACTTCCACATTATGCTGTGTTCAAATCTCTTTCCCCATCTGTTGCTTTCAGACAATTCTCTGAAAAATGTGTCATGAACAACTACTTTGGCATCGGGCTGGATGCTAAGATCTCTTTGGAGTTCAACAACAAGCGGGACGAGCACCCCAAAAAATGCAGGTAGGCAAAAGAGCCTCCCCCATTACTGGAATGGAGAATGCACGGGGTTCAAGTTCTGAGTTCTACTTTGGGTCATCCACAGTCCTCCAGGGGTAGGAAACCTCATGGGACTTATGCCCAGAGATGGGGCAACAGTCATCATCACCTTTGTCAAGTTGCTGCTTGTTGGTCCTAAGCCACCTGTTACATTCCAGCTAGTCTGATTTGCTGATAGTTCTATGGTGCTTTCTATCAATAGTGACATAGGTACACAGTGCTAAGAGTGGATTGTTCCATTGTTCACAAGAGGAATGTCAGGTGTTGTGCTGGTGCCCTTCATCCAAACATCTTACACTCTGAAAACATGATCTGTTAAGCCTTCCAACATTATCCCTCTTGTGGTGGGCAATATTCTAATTATCCTTGTTCTATAAATGCCAGTGGGACCCAGCATAAGGCCCTGTGGAATCCTAGCTATCCAGAGTAGTTGGCAGCTAGATATTACTAGCATCCAGGAGGAGTCGTGTAAACCTCTAGGGAGGTATAGGAGCACACAAAAGCCTTGAGTTGGAATTGAATTGTACTACATAATTACATTTAATGACATGTCTGCCCAAAACAAATCTAGGAGAAAAAAGGGGGATTAAGTGGTAAATACTACTAGGCATAGAGATCTCTTTGCAAAGGAACTTGGTGTCACAACCTCTGTGCTGTAGGTGGGGAAACTGAGGCACAGGGGCAGAGGGAGTAACTTGTCCAAGGTCACATAGGCTGCTTATAGATGTAAAAAACCCCAGTGCTTTACTTTAAACTCAGTGTACCCCCTTTCCAATCCCAGTGCATGCCCAGAAGAGGCATCACATTAGTTGGACCTGGCTTGCCCAATTTTTGTATAGATTGGGCGCTTCAGCAGAGTTTTTTTGACATTTTTGTCTAATAGCTGGTTTAATCAGTTATTAGAGAAAAGCACCAAAAAGTCCTGCTGAAGTATCCGATCTATATAGATGCTGCAGAGCCAAGTTGAACTAACACACTGCTTCTCCTGGAGAATCTGATTTTTTTTGAGGGGGGAAAGGGGAGTGTTTCTATATCTGTCAGCAGCCACAATGACCAAGTGATCAAGCCAGGACCAGAACCTATCTCTCTTGAGCCTTAGGCCAGCATCCTGTCCACTAGACCATACTGCCTCCCTAAAAGAACTGATGAGGTGTGGCTATGATGGAATTGTTAAAAGGATGAGGTATAGTTTAGAGGGGTGCCAAAGAAACAGCAAACAGCGTATGGTGCTGATAATTAGGCCTAGTAACACGTCATCCAAATGTAGGAGCTGTGGGCCATTCAGGGAAAGTGAGGCAGTACATTTCACACAGATAAAAACAATATACTTCTACATGGCATGTCAGGAACCAGTGGGAAGGAATTCCTGCCCCAGAGCTCAAGTCAGGTTCAGTAAGAGGATCTGTGGGTAATGACATGACACAGTGACAGAAGAGAGGCTGTTAAGCCCCTTGTTTCAGGGTATCAGGAAGGCATTCATGGAGAGGCTTTCCTTGTGGACAGCCTGTTCCATAACCAGCCACGAGGGTGGGTTACACTTCCCTCTGAAGTAAATGGTCAAAAAGTGGATGCTGGTTTGCTTTGGCAGTGTGTGTGTTGCCCCTTAATTACTGTATGTAGGTGAATCACTTCCTAATATGCATAGTTAAAAACTCCTGTTGCTATATATTGGAAGTCAAGGGGTTGGAAATTGTTCCTGGGGCTTTCTATGCTATTTGCATGTCTATGGGAGTTTTCTATGAGCCCAAGGCCATGCAGCCCAAAGACAGGTGGCCTCATGGGTCACCTGCTTAGAGTTCTCTGTGGCTGCACCAAGCCCATGCTTCTGGTAGATCTGGGGGGGGGGGGG